AGAGAGAGAGAGAGAGAGACTTGAAATTATCGATAAAAGTGACAGAAAATTACCTCGACAAACTAGATGCACCCATGCACTTCTCACTTAGGATTCTCTGCACTAGAATCATGCATCTTCTTTGTCATCAAGTTCTTGCAGCAAAAAGAGCGAAGCCCTGCCAATGAACATAAATGGTTAAATATATCCTTTTCTATTATAATACCAACACCTAAACAGTGTAGATGAAGTATTTGCCAATGAAATATAAGGTTTGGATAAAATTAAGAAAACAAAAACTTATGTGGCATGAATATTTTTTTATTTTTTCTTTCTTCCTCTTTTCATCTTAGTTTGAAGAGGAATTAAAATATCATTTGTGGTTGTTATCCCAGCAAACCTTTTTTTTCCTTTTATATTGTTAAAATTTGCAATGTAAAATGATGATGATAAGCATGAACTTTATCATATAATAAATATTGAAATCAGAAATGCAAGAATAGATTGTGGTAGAAATTAAACTTTTTGCCATTTTAATAGAAGAAAAAAGGATTTGAAATCTAGCTATTAACTTAGGCGACAATTCTTTTCACCTATGTCTTTGAAAGCATAAAGTTAGATAGTTGAGATTGGATTTCATCTAAAAAACTTAAACTTGGATGGTAAGTGGCTTTTTTCTTAATTTTATATATTACTCATCAATTGTTTATTTATTTAATGTGATATATATTCTTCAACGCTCTCTTTCATTTACCGTATATTTTTTAAGGTTTGTCAAATGATTTGAATTTTAAGAATTTTACTAAACCGTTAAGCCTTTTTAAGTTTTGATATCATAATCGAGATTAAATTCTATCTAACAGGCTTAATTTTTATGATGTGTGACCTTTTTTCAACTTTATATATTATTTATTTATTTATTTATTTAGTATGAGATATATTCTCTAAACGAAAAAAAAAGTACTTAAATGGTAACACAATTGATATAACTCCATATGTTCATTGTTGGAGTAATTAAATTTATGCATTTGGCTGTCAAAATCTATATCTCTTCTATTTTTCCTTATATTTGCCTCAAACAATGTATTGCAATTTTTGGTTTAGATTTTTCTTTCCATGTCTTTCAATGTTTAAGATTTTCTTTGGATTTCATTTTAGGCTGTATGAATGCAATGTATAGCTAAAATTTGAATTTTGCCACATATATCAACTTAAATGAATGAGAAACAATTAATTTTTTGTCAAATTGAGTGTTACCAAAAACGCATAATAGTATCAGGTACGCAATTGTTATTTTTAGACCTCCATTTAGTGTGGGATAACTATGTAATTAAGACTCTAGGAATCACTACCGTATTTTCACATGAAAAATATTTGGCATGTTAATCTAGTGCTCATTTCCTTTCCCTTTTATTTAATTAATCTGACAATTGCATGATTTTGTTTTCATAAAAAATTTACCAACCAAAGAGCATAAAAAAAAAAAGTTACCAATCATTGTGAATTTTAACTGTAAAAATGAGTATATTATGTTAAATTTCTTGTTTCATGAACTATAATTTCCAATATATTTCACATTATAAGAAGAGATTATGGTGTGAAAGTAATATTAGTTTTACCATTTCTCCAATAATAATAATAATAATAATAATAATAAGCTCACCTTGATTTAAATGAAGATATGGTTAGTACTAAAATTAACAATGCAAAGAACATGAGTATGAAATTAATTAGATAATCAAAATATCATAAACTAAATCAACTATATAACGAAATTACCGGAATGAATAAGATTAACGAAATTAACGAAAAACAATAGAAGATCAACTAGTTGAAGTAGTAAAAATTATTAGCTAGTATAGAGAATGAACATTTATCACATTGATAAATTAGAATGTCAATCGTGATTATCAACCGAAATAACGAAATAACGGTAAAGTTAAATATGTCAATTCAAATTATAAAATTTCTAAAATTGAAAAACAATATGGAAACTTAACTAAAACAACTAATAACAATTATGTTCTTAGCGTAATGTTCATGCATAGAATAGAAAATTTTAATAGAGATTAAATAAGAAACTTAGATCAGTACATTGTTTTGCTTAATGCATAAAAAAAAACCTATACTAACATGTAACCGAACTAAAAAGTCACAATCATAGACTTTGTTTATTCTGTTGATTAATATTTTGCTCAGCGTGCAAAAAAAAAAAAAAAAAAAAAGCCTTTTTGATCAAAATTATTTTTTAAAAAATAACATTATATGCAGCAGAAATTAAGAGAATAAAAGGTTAAAAAACAAAACAACAAAACGAAAAGGTAAAAAACACGAAGGTAATAACTGAAAATTAAACAAGTTGGTGCCTCATAAGGCAAGTTTGAAAGTAGAGCAAAAGACACGAGCAAAGGAGGGAAAAACCCAAAACAAAAAACCACCCTAGAAAAGAACACAACCCCACAAAGAAAAGGGGAAAAAAAAAAAAACGTTCGGCACCCTTTGTTAGGAATAGGATGGGAGTTTTGTTTCCATAAAATTTCAGATATAGAGAGAGAAAGATAGATTAATGCAGAGAGGGGTGACACGGGTCTCTCAGTTTTGAAGGAGTGAGAATCCAATTGGTCAGCAGCCAACCATGACACCTTACTACCGTAGTTGTCTATTTTTCATCCCTAATTATGATTCTTATCTATCATTGGAAATTTCGCTCTTAGACCAGATTTTTATCCTTTCGAAAATTAAATGTTTTCACTCAAATTTTCACCTTAAATACCACCCTCTCCCTACCCTTTTCGCCCACAAACAAACATACATTTCATCTCTTGCAAACCAGAGTGAGAGGTAAAATAAGAGTTAGTGTGTGTTTTCTTTTGGTTTTGTGGCTTTCTTGTTTCACCAAATTCTTCAAAGTCTAAGCCTTTTGTTAGGTATATGTATTACTTCCTCCGATTAAGTTCTTTTTTTTTTTTTTCCCTGTGTTGTTGGTTACAAAAATAGTGCTTTTATGTGGTTGGTTTTTTTGTGTTGTTGATGTTAATTTGTTTTTGTGCTTAACTTTTTGTGATTCGAATTAGAGTTTGATTTGCTTGTTCTAGATTTTTTTTATTTTGAAATCATTTGTGATGATCACTTCCACTTTGATGTTTTGTTTTTTCTGTTTGATTTTTTATTTCATTTTTCAATTTTTTTATCGGTTTAATTTTTTGAAAAAAAATCAGATATATATATATATATATATTTTAGGGAAAATCAGATGTATTTTTATGTCTAAAGATTTTTATTTTTTTTATTTTTATCATATTAATTATCTTAATCGGTAGTATAATTTGAATTTTATTTCATAATAAAATATATTATTATTTTTTAATCTTTATACACGATAATCAAGCGATTTTGTTTTCCAGTGTTTTTATTTTTATTTTGCTATAATGGTTTTTCACTGTTTGTTTGGCTTCAAAATTGTTAAACAAGAATGAGAATCAAACTAAATAATAAGTCTTCAAACGAAGGACGCTTAGGGTATGTGTTAATTATTATTATTATTATTATTAAGATCTCTGATTATACAATATTGACACATCTTTTTGTTTTGATTTATTGAATTATTTTGATTTTTTTTTGATTTTTTTTAACAACCTGTACATATATATATATTTTTCCCTATCTTTTTTCAATGAGAAAACATGTTCATGTGGCATGAATCATTAATTAACTTTTTCCTTGTTGTTAAAATTAATAGGTATTCATATAGGAAGTTCACGAACCAATCCTATTGATAAATGCCTCCAAAAACAGCTCTTTTTTTAATCAATATTTTATAATGCCCCATAATTTCTGAAATTTTTAGAAGAATATTTTTCTCGTTAAAATAAAAAAATTTATGTATTAGTTTTCAAAGATTTAGAATGAAAATACAATAAGATTTATTATAAGATCCTGCTTGTTTGTGCTATTTCTTTGGTTTTTATGTTGTGGTTTTACATTATAAAGTTTAATTGGAGTAATAAATGAAGATCTAATTATTCAAACTTGGATTAGCAGAAGGAAAGTCATAACAGAAACTAATTAAAAAATCACAGAGTTAATTAATATAGGGAACCTGGAAGAAAAAAAAAAAAACAATTTAAAGTTTAGAATTACTTATTCTTTTTTGAATATTAGAGTTGAAAACTTCTTATTCTTAATGAAATTTAAATACGATTTTATTTGCATGGGTGTTTAAGAAAGTTTTCACTCTGCTGCTGATGCCGTAATTTAGCTTTGAAATCTTTCTGACTACTTATGATAGAGACAGTTTGTTGGATGTATCATATTTAGGTTTTTCAATTTAGAGTAGAATTCTTTATTTGACAGGGTTTCTTATTTATTACTATTCTTTGTGCAAATAACAGTAGGGTTTGGTGTTATACAAGTTTGGTTCTGGCCTACGAGTAATAGAAAACTCTTGGTTTGAGATTCTTTTTTTTTTTTGCGTACTAGACTCTTTGGTGACCTATTCCTTTTGTGTTTCTTAATCTGTTTTTGAGGTATCATAAGAGTGAATGATGGATGCCCATCTCTTTAATTTTCCTTGTTCTTTTTTTCTGAAACTTTATTTTCTCCCATTTTCAATGTTGATCAATATGTTGATGGATGTTATAATCTTTTTTGTCTCATAAATGTCAATCTGTTTTGGGTTTCTGTCTCACATCGCACTATATCAACAGTATTATTTAACTAGTGGGATAATGTTAGCGAAATCCTGAAAGTTTGTAAAACAGGTGATAGAAAATTGATGAATCTAATTGCATTCATATTTATCCTTTCGCTCACTCCCACATGAGTAAATTTTCGTAAATCCATCCTGTTCTTGTTTGTTTTTGTGTATTACGTATTGTTGATAGTACTGATATCTGAGTTTCAATTCTTTACATTATCTGCATGGTTAATCCTAATAACAGGTTGTTTATTCTCAGGTTTGGAGGGGAGTCCGGCTTCGGTTGTGTAATTAAGACTCAGAAAGAGAATATCTATTTGCTGAAATGTCAGGCCAAGGTAGCATGTCCAATGCCTTCTCAGGAAAGTTTTATTTGGGTTATGGCCCCAATGGCATCAATCTTCTCTGCAATCAGAATCATGTAGATTCCGACGATTCTTCATCCGAAGAAATGCGTTCTGAGTTGAACATTGCCCTGGGCAATAGTTACCTCACTAATGGACCATCAGCTACAGTGGAGGCTACTTCTAGTGCTCTCCCTCACAACATAGACTTGAATGCTGCATATGAAGGCAATGACTTTGTCGACACTCAGGAACTAGGAGGAGGGTTGGACACTGACAAAAATGCACCTGCCAATGATTCATCTAATTCTAATACAATTGTGATCTCTTCTGGAATTGCTGGGTATGTGTTGGAAGACAACGAGGGTGGAGAAGATTCTGCATCAGGTGGTAGGCGTTTGTCTTGCAAAAGAAGAGCCCCTGAAGAGGCTCCTAGACAACTGTCTTTGGGTGAAAGCTCGAGATCAGTTAAGCAAGGAGAAATTCCTCAAGAAAATACTCCTGGAAGCTTGAATCTACCATCCCCAGTGAATAATCATCCAAATGCTGGTTATTCAGGCCAGCTGGGTGGTAGAATTTCGGTTCGTGTGGGACCGGCTCCAGCCCTGTATCAACCTACAAGTGCTGCAGGAAGTGGAGTTGTAACTGGAGCTGGGACAAGTTCTGAAATGAATGAGAATTCAAGCGTGGTAGGACGAGGTGAGAACTCCCAGAGAAATATCCGTTTGAGAAGATCTGCAAGTCAATCAGATTCTGTATCTGATCATAATTTGTCTCCTTGGGCCACAAGTAATCCTCATGTGCAATCACCTGTGTTTGATCAAATCATTCACCTTCCAAGTTCAAGCGCAGCTTCTCCAATGCAGTCTTTTATGCATACTCTCAATTCTTCACAGACTTTACAGCCCTTCCAGTGGAATGGGGTCACCAGGGCAAGAACCAGTGGGCCATCTACTTATGCTTTGAATGGAGGAAATACCTTGGATCGGGATCAGAACGTAAGGAATGATCCGAGGAGCGATGTGTATCTTCCTGAATTTCAAATTACACACATGCCGCACTTGCCAGCAAACCTTCACTTTGCAGATGGGAGAAATTTTCCAGGAACCATATCTCCTATTTCCCAAAATGGCTCTAGTTCACATCAACCACCTCCTCCCACTTGGTTTGCCCAAGGCAACATGGAAGAGCAGTATCCTGGGAGAATGCCTGACATGGTCGATGGCACTGAGCCTCAGGGGCAAGTTTATTACTGCCCATTTCATATGGGAACTTCTCCAGCTGCAAGAGAGAGGGAATTATTAGAGGGAAGTGATGTTATAATGTCTTCTCAGATGCCTCTAAGGGCAGGCTTGGAAATAAGGTCCGAGACACAAATTGCCAATCGTGAAATGGCACTCCGGGCTTTGACTGCTGTTCAGAGGAGAAACAGACTGGCAGCTGAGGTATGCTTAATAGATTATTTCCTTTTAAACTTTACTGCTTCTACCGAAAAAGACTACATATTAGTTTATACCTCGAGATAGTTACATCAAATTGAAAGAAATTAAAGGGTAGGAAAATTCTCTTTGCCACCACTATTTACCATTTGTTTTAGCCTTATTAAGAAATATAAAACTAGAAGATAGGGCAAAGCTTTTAGTTGCTGGTATTCATCCTGGCCCATTTTAATGTTTGGTATATTCACACTTTTATTTTATCCATGTAGGCTTTAGTTATGACCTCCTGATTAGTTCCATTTTCCATTAAAAGTGTGTGCTCAAATATGCAAGTTTTTCTAAATGAAGCCGAACTGAGGTGCTTCCCTGCACTGAAACTTTTCTGAAGTCCTGACAGCAATGATAAAAGTATTTGTTCTTCCATTATCAGTTAAGTCTGTGGGATGGAAATGACTAGCGCCAGCAGACGTGCTTGAGCATTAACAGGTCTTAAAAAAGAAAATGGGACGGATGGTTTAAGGAAATTAAAACAAAGTTCTTTTATCTTGGTGCCTAATGTGTTACACAGTTTAAGATTATCTGCTTCATAAATCATGATAGTCTCTCTTAAACAAGTCAGTAAGGATTTTTATTATTTCCTTACGACCTATATAAATATATCACTTGATTTCCATTTATTTTATTTCTTCATTAATATTAATCAGTGAACCATTGCCTTGATCTGATGTTCTTAAGTTCACTTGTTTCGGCTTTAACAGGTTCGCAATGCTCTGGCACTTGTGCGTAGGAGGAGCCCATTACCGTTTGGGGTACTGATTCTAGCTGAATTTATGGTTGTCTTTGCATCATATATACCACTTTGCTAAGCTGGTCAAGTCTTGACCTACTTGCTTTAATTTATCAAAGAACATCCAAAAGATTGGTAATGGTATATGTAAAAAGTTTTTGTTAAAGAGGTCAAGTAGTTCTACATGGTTCTAATGGAAAGATTAACATTGTTTAGCCTTCTCTTTTTCTTCTTCTTTTTCTTTTTGACTTGATGGAGAATCTACTTATGATTTTGATCTATTGATGGTATGCCAGGATCCAATGCTTTTTAACTATTCAGCTTTGTTTGTTGACTCTGATGATGAAGATGATGAACTTGAAGATATGCGTCTTGATGTGGAAAACATGTCTTACGAAGTAAGAATTTAAAAAATGAAGGCACTCATGGCTGCCTTTTTGAAGTGTTTTCTTGCTTTTAGATGATGACCTCGCATTCACTCATTATCTGACTATTGCTTTTTTAATAATGGTTCTGTGCTTCAGCAACTGCTTGCTCTGGAGGACCAAATGGGAAATGTGTCCACTGGATTAAGTGAGGATGCGATCGTGGCAAATCTGAAGCGTTGGAAGTATCAAGCAGTTGCTGAAGGGTCTAACAGTGAAGATGAACCATGCTGCATCTGTCAGGTAAGAGCTGCTCAATTCTTCTACCTTCTACAACAGGAATAATTTGAAAAACAGATGCATATGCCAGTGTGATAATGAATAATTTACACCTACCAATATTTTCATCTTTTCCACCGTAATTTACTGCAGTTTGGTGATTCTCAAGAGTATGCTTAAGGAGAATTGGTTTAACTTAAATGGAAAGTAAAACTGTGTTTGTAGTTTTTCATTAGGAGGAGTTTTTTAGATCATAATAATAAAAAAAAGAAACATTTTTCATTTTTTTACTAATAAACACGTTTCTGTAGTCTTGATATTTGTTCATTGCTATTTACTGGTGCATTTTTATTTTACTTTTGTAAAAAAAAATCCTGTGTGCACTATTTCTTTGCTCAAAATTTTACAGGAGGAATATGCTGATGAAGATGATCTGGGGAAGCTGAGATGTGGGCATGACTTTCACTTCAACTGCATTAAGAAGTGGCTCGTAGAGAAGAACAATTGCCCCATCTGCAAAAAGACAGCCGCGGATGTTTGAGATGGCAAGTTTTGGATCTGGACAATCGTCCTTGCCCATGGACCAGTGTTCTCAGTCGTTTGCCGACATCTTCTTCTTTTTCTTACAGAACTGTTATTAATAACTACAATAAGCAGGTCCATGAGATGCCTCGGCAACTCATGCTTTACTTTTGTTGTATTTTATTTCTGTTTACCATACATGCTCCTCAGGCCTTAACCTCAGACCTGAGAGTTGAACATACTCCTGATACAAGAAGCTGCAGTATGGCATCCAATTTTCAAGTGTCTCATTTCCAATTCCATGAGCTTCTTGTTCATGGATGCTGGAAGCAGCATTCTGAGACTTTTGTCGCATATCAGGTTATAGATACAGACATGGAACTCAGCCATGGAAAACTGAACATTGCTGTGACTCCATTTAGATAGTTATAAAGTTTACAGTTACAAATACTAGAATGAAAAAATTATGAAATAAAACCTTGTTTGTACTTAAATCTTTTTTCTGTTGTTATCTTTGGATTGCTTTACTGCATTATTTTTGCAAATTAATTTATAGATTGCTTGGTTTTATATTGGATATACAGTAAATTAATTTCATTTGATTATAATATCCTGATTCACTTCAACGAGGAGGAATCGGCCCATAGATAGCATCGATACCTCATACCTCCTCACACTTGGTGGTTGATGGTTCATGTTAAGTCAATAATATTTATTTGGAAAAACCTCAATTTAGTCACAAGCCTCTATATTCATTTCTCATTTGAGTGTCAAACCTATAGATTTTATCAATTAGATCCCCAACGGTTTAAAGAATTCTCAATAAAATTTTTTTGTTATAAAAGAAATGATAACAATAGTAGAATTAAAAAGAAAGATGATAAGAAAATGAATTCACTATAAAATAAAGTGAATACAAGGGATAACAACTTCAAATAATATCTTAATCTTTACAAAATACTTTTACACCAACTAATGAACAATCAAGGCTATTTATAGGCTTCAAGATTAGGAAGAGAATTGGAAATGACTATGAACCATTAAAAGATGCATAAATAATTGAATAAATTATATCACCCTTTTAATTTCTCATAGTAAATGGTGAATTGAATCACATAAGTAGTGAAAATATAAAATGAATATTCATTATTTCATAACACTCCCTTTTGAATATCCATAGTACAAGAAACATGTCTTGTTAAAACCTTACCAAGGAAAAACCCAATGGACAAAAAATCTTAGTGAAAGAAAAATAGTACAATATTCCTTATACATATTAATCTCAATGTTGATCTCCCTCTCGTTGAAAACATCATTTAAAATCTTTAAGACAATACATCTCGGTGTTATGAATTCTTTTCTCAAAAGTTGTGGTAGGTAATGCCACAACAAATAAGCTTACTAGGATTATCACTTTGATGTATTCTTCTTTTAATAGAATTATGCAAGTAACATTATCTTCATATAATATTATTGGAGCTTCTTTGCTTGTAGATAAACTACATGCCTCTCGCATATGATGGATTATTGATCTTAGCCATCTTAGCCAAGCACATTCTTGACTTGTCTCATAAATTGGTATTTCTACAAGGTAATTTGAATATCTAGCAACTATAGTTCCCTTCATAGAACGTCATGATATAGCTATATCACCAAGTGTAAATACATAACCTGTTTATAATCGAGTTTTGTATGAATTAGATAAATAACCTACATGTGCATAACTAATTAAACTCGATTTTGATTTATTTGAGTAAAATAAATACCATATCAATTTTTTCTTAGAGATAACATAAGAAATGTTTAATTCCATTCCAATGTCTCCATATTGGAGCGGAACTATGACTTGCTAATAAATTTATAGAAAAAGCTATATCACGTCGATTATTATTAGCAACATATATCAAAACACCGGTGGTACTAAGATATTGTGCTTCGGGATCAAGCGAGTTTTTGTTATTTTCTCGAGGTCGAAAATGGTCTTTTTTTGAATATCAAGTGAATGAACTACCATTGGGCTAATCAATAGATGATCTTTATATAAAATAATTATAAAAATTTTTCTATATAAATTGACTAATGAATAAAAATCTTGTTTTTTAAGTGCTCAAATTACGAAGTCGAGATAAAAGTTTGTTTTTTCAAGGTATTTCATATCAAATTCTCCTTTTAGATAACTTAAGACATTTGGAATCTCTTTCGGAATTACAATAATATTTAAATCATCAACATATATAGCAACTATCACAACCCCTTTTTTTAATTTCTTTATAAAATACATGAATAAATATCTATTTTTATAACTTCTTTCAATAAATATTTATTGAAAAAAATTATACCACATACACACGAGATTAGTAATAAAGATTAGATATTTAAAAATAAAAAATAAAAAGTATAGCATAAATTGAATTTATAAAAACTAAAATAATAAAACTAATACTAAAATAATTTCGATAGAGATCTCTATAATTTAATTGAATTCATTTATCAAAAATATGTATTATATGCTTGAGCATACGAAGTCCTTTTAGGACTTTTATATAGATATCATTTTTTAACTGAATAAATAAGTTGCGATCACGTCCATTAAATATATGCATATGAAGTTTTTCATATATTTTGCCTAGCTAACGAGATAACAAAATATAATTATATCCATTACGGGAGAATATATCTCTTCATAGTCGGTGTCAAGTCCTTGTAAAAAATCTTGTGTTACAAGTCTTATTTTGTATATCATAATCTCATATTTCTTATTTTGTTTTTGCAAAAATATTTATTCGTATCCCATTAGCTTGACATCTTCGGGTGTTTTGACTATGAGTTTAAAAACTTCTCATTCGTAAGAGAATATAATTTTGCTTGAATTGCTTTTTTTATTTAGGCTAATCATCTCAATGTCGATATTTTTCAATAAATTTAATCTCGGGAACCTTATTTTTATTCAAAATATCAATTGTAGCATTATATGTAAAAATCTTATAAACAAATATTTCTTTTCGGTCATATTTTCTCTCTATATTGACATAATTTATCAAAGTCTCTTGATTTTTCTCAAGCATTTGGACTTCTTCCAAAAGTCTATTATCAAAAAATATCTTGGATATTTTTATTTTAATTATTTGCACTTTTCTTTTGAGGATTTTTGCTTTTAGAACCAATCAGCCTTTCACGCTTTAGGCATGCTTTAGATTCATTTGCTATACCATTAATATATTATCCTTCTAGGATATCAATTCTTATAGGAGCATTCTTAACGAAGACATGCATTTTAGTTACTTATTTAAGATCCGAGAATGTATCTCGCGAGTTGGTTTGTAATATTGTAAATGAATTATCTTTTGAACTTCTAGTCCATATTATTTGGTACGAGGATTAAGATGATATAAGATAGAGTACTCAATGTAATTTTTTTCAACATTTTTAACTACTTGTTTTGCTTATCCCCCTCCCCTAGACCCCCCTAATATTGGAAAAAAATTTTCATTAAAATAACGATCGATAAATCGAATTGTAAAAATATATCTTGTTCATGGTTCAAGTTATTGAATTATCAAAAAAGATTCAAATCTAATATATATTCCCAATCTCCTTTAAGTGCCCATTTTAGTTCGTTATGGAGGAGCACTACGAATATATACTACAATGCCAAAAATTCTTAAATAAGAAATATTTAGCTCATGAGCATAAACCAATTGAATGGGGGAGAATTTCGATAACTTATGGGTCCGATGCGAATAAGTGTTGCTTGTATGTAAGATTGCATGTCCCCAAGAATAAATAAGGAGTTTTGTTTTTTATAAATAATGGTTTAGCTATCGATTGAAATCTTTTGATAAATGATTTTGTTAAACATTTCTAAGTATGAACATGAGCAACGAGGCTATTCAATCCTTATTCTAATAGCCAATCAATAATAATTTAATGCTTTAGAGATAAATTCACCGAGCATTATTAAGACAAATTGTTTTAAAGACATAATTTAGAAATTATGCTTATAATTGAATTATTTGAGCTAACAACCTCGAAAATGTCGGGTTTTGAGTAGATAATAAACATACATGTGATCATTTTATAAATGCATCTATTAAGGCCATAAAATATCTAAATGATCCACATGATGGATGAATTGATTCATATATATATCTCCTTGAATACATTCTAAAAATACTGAAAATTCACTCTCAATTTTACTTGGTGATGGGTTAATAATCAATTTGTCTTGAGAACATACAAAACATAAAAGTTCATTAAATAGAAAAATCTTTGAGCTTTTCAATAGATGTCCATATGAATTTTTAATAATTGTTTACAACATGAAAAGCTCGGAATAACACAATTGGTCATGCCACATAATAAAAATATTTGAATTAGTAAACTTTTAGTTTACTATAGCATTTGTTTTAAGGATTCAAATGTTTGTAATAAAGACTCAAAGAGAAAGCAAATAATTTTTCTAATACATATTTTCTATTCGATGTTATTATAATATTTAAATATTCAATATTTTTCATATTTGCTTGTCTTGATATGATGTCCATTTAGACAGATATCTTTGAAACTCAATAAATTTCTATGAGACTTTAGAGAGAATAATGCATCATTTATAATAAAATTCATTCTTTCGGATAATAATATATTTTTCTTCCTAGAGCCTTTAAATTCTATCACTTCAAGTAATAATATATTCATTCTTTTATAGTCTTTAAAAATTATCTCTTCAAGTAATAATATGTTTGCTCTTCTAGAACCTTCAAATTTGTCTCTTCGAGTAATAATATAGTCACTCTTTTGAAGCTTTTAGTTAGAATAAATAAATATATTCTTCATAAACATAAATAAATAAATAGTAAAATAAATTTATATTTATCTCTATGTAATAGAAATTATAAAAAATATAAAATATTTTATTTATAAATAGAAAAGTTAATAATTTATTAATTTCAATTATTACCATTTTGATATATAAACTTGGCTTCTATATTTTATTCTTTCCTTTTCAACGAGGCTTGAAAAGGGTTAATGAGGTGTTTTGGTATACAACGGGTACGCGATTAATATCCATTCATGCCACACCTATAATATTCATTTTTAAAATACTGACTTGATTCATTTTTATTTTTTTCTTATTTTTTTTTTATAGTTACCCACTTTTAGTGGTGAGATGTATTATTATGGTCATCATAATTATAATGATAATTATTCGAACCACGTCTATGGCTATGACCATATCTTCATTCATGTTCAAAATTATTATAAGTTGTCATATTCACTTTCGAGAATGGAGCGAGATCCAAATGGACGGGATTTATTCTTTTTCATCAATAGCTTGTTATTTTATTTAGCCACGAGCAAGTATGAAATTGATTTAGAATATTTATTAAATTTTTTTTCTCAATATACTACTGTAGGAACATATTTGA